AAGTTTGTAGATGACACCAAGCTGGGGGAAACCACTCAATGTGCTCGAGGAGCTGCCATCCAGGGGGACCTCAGCAGGCTGGAGGAAGGAGTCAAGAGGAACCTTAAATATTCAACAAGAAACAAGTCCTGCGCAGGAGAAGAGCACAGGGACATGGGTAAGGGGTGGGATAGGGTTATTATGAGAGGTGAGAGCGGCAGAGCCCACCCTGTGTTGCTTGCCCTTGTCGGACCCCAATGGGCAAGGTGCCTTGAGGGGACCACAGTGACATCGCCACCTGGCATCTTCTCAGGCTTTAGGTCCTACAAGCCAGTTTTTCCACCTCCTCACTCTGCTGCCGTAGGCAACTGCTCAGGTTACCTGGCTGTAAAGCCAGGTCTGACTGCTGAATGGCGTCATAAAAATAAACAAACGCATCCAAAGCAGCACTCGACACCAACCACGCTGGCTGGAAGCGGCTCCTCCTGGCAGAAGGCTGGCAAGAAGGTGGCAGCTCCCAGGCCCAGAGGCATGTCCTGGGTTGGCGTCCCAACAACATCCACTGAGGATGAGACTGAGCCACAAGAGGAGCCAAACCTCCTGATACCACTCATCTGTCCCGGCTTCTGCAGAGCATGACCGTGGCTCCAAGCTGGCTACGATCCTTCCTTCCCTGCGGACCTCAGCCATCACCAAGAGCTGATCCAGTCCTAATGCTTCTCCTCCCCAGCAGCAGCAGGGGATGAAGCAGGGAGGGCAGCGAGCTGGGCTGGCCCATGCCATCCTCGTTGACACACAAGCAGCCATGGGCAGCACAGAGCTGGATGAAGAACGGCCAGCTCCAGCCATGCTTAGGAAAGAGCTAGGAAACGCAAAAGTGGTGATAATCAGTGAACAACAGAGGGCAAATAATATTATTTATTATCTCTATGTCTTCAGTAGCCATGGGGCACTTGTTGCACCAGGCAGAGGGCTCTGGAGTGCTCCTGCCCCACTGGTAGTTCAACTGACATTTGCTCATCCCTGTTCTTAACCCATTTTCTACATTTTGCTGACTCTGCCAAAGGCCATAGAAAAGAAGAAATATGGCCAGGCTGCAAGAACCAAAGTCCCTTGGTTGTTCTCCTGGTTTTAGTTGGTTTTGGGGGATGTGCAACGTGAAGTATTGTTGGAGCGGGGCTGAATGTGGTCCTCGGTGTTTGGGCATGGGGCAGAGGCTTCAGGGCAGCAAGGATGTCAGCACGTTTACTCCCCACCATCCTGGAGGGGCATAAGGAGATATACAGGGACAAACGTGGGGTGGTTTTGCAGAATAAAGTGAGGCCAGAGTTGAGAGCACGTGGGCTGCAGGGCTGGGAGAAGACAGTGGGACATCCCTCTTGCTTAGACCATCAAGCGCGGGAGCCAGGGCAACTTTCTAAAACTGCTAAAAGTGTTTTCATCGAGCCAGATAAAAGACTCATGGAGGAACGTGGTTCTGGAAGATGCCACCACTGGTCCTATGTGAGGACAGCCAAGGCTGGAAGCAGGCAAGGGCCAAGCCCGCGGTGCCCTGGCTGCAGTACAGCCATCCCCGGGGAAAGCCTTTCCCTGGGAACAACGCCCTCTTCCAGCTCGCCCTCGATTCCCTGAAGCTCCAAGGGAAGAATAGGAGGAAAGCTCTTTCTTTTATTTCTATTTAACTTCTCTGCTTTGTTATTCTTTTCCCAGGCTCCCCAGATTTGATGGCTGCAATAGTCCTCTGGTTCTCATCTGCAAAGGGGCCCTCCTCCGCTCACCGTAAAAATCCCTCCTTACCCCCGACCATCTTCAATGCCGATCTTTGGGCTGGGCTTGGGCATCCCATTTCCCTTCTCCAGCTTAAATTACACACTACTCCAAGCAGAAAAGCGTGTTTTGATCTAAAGCAACACCCAAACTCACCGTGCATCATCAAACTGTTTTAACGAGAGCTGGACCCACCTTTTACTTCTCTTGGCAAACCACCTCTTTGCCTAAAATCCCAATGTTGACCCCACCAGACCTTGTTGGGAAGACACTCTCCATCTGCACAAATCTCACCCCAAACCCTCAGAACGGTTCTGGAAATTAAACTTTCTGAATCTTTGGGGATCCAGCTCCTGGGAGAGGCAGTCACTATGTCAGACATGGTGGTAGACCCTTCCTTCTCCCCCCACCCTGTTTTCCAGCAGGCAGAGGAGGATGCGGCAGAGCCCCCCGGGACGGAGGCTTGGCGTGGACCACATTTGTGCCAAGGGGCACAGACACTCCCTTGGCTCCCGAAATGCTGCCCAGGCGAGGTGGTAGCTCTGACCCAAATTTCCTCTGCTGTGATTAAACACCCGTTCCTGTGGCTGACATCAAAACACAGTGGTCCGCCTGCATCCCCGAGGACGGTGATGAACGCTGGTTCCATTAACCGGCAAACCCCAGCATTTATCACTCCAGCCTTGCCTGAAATGAACTTCCCTTTTGATTTTGTTTTTTTTTTTTTCAGCCCACAAAACCAACCCATCCACACCGCTCAATAAATAACGCTGGCATCGCCACCCGATGCCCCAGCCATGTCCCCAGCTCCTCCTCACCGGGCCACCCAGCACTGATGTTCTCGCTGCCATCCTCGCTTCCTCCCACCCAGCCCAGCTCCACAATTAATGATGGTGTTAATAAGCTGTTATTTGGGGGGAAAGAAAAGAAGCTGAAGAGAGGAAGCTTTGCAGGGGGAAGGGAAGAGACATTCCTGCCTCAGTCATCAGGCAACTTTCCCCTTCCTCTTGCTCACTCCCTCGCTGACCTTTGGCTGAGTCTGCCAAGGCTATAAAGGAAAAGGGAAAAAGGAAAAAAAAAGACAGAGAAACTAAAAAGCAAGAGGACCTGAAAGGACAGGCAGAGGGAGAGATGTTATCTCACCTCTGGTAATGATTTATCATCAAAGGATGGGTGGATGGAGGCAGAGGGAGCTAAGCATGATCGTGGGCAGCACAGAGGGGCTTTGCTGGGGGATACCCAAGGGGGAAGGAGTTAGGGGCGAAGGTTGGAGATTGTACACGGGAACGTATGTGCTGATAAGCAGGAAGGGGAAAAAACCCATGATGAGTGCTACTACACCCCGTGAACCTGTCCCGAGGCAAGTGGAAGTCCCAAACCTTATAGGCCATGGTGACACTCCCCCCTGCCCTGGGACATCAGGCCGTGTGCTTCATGAAGATCACCAAGGGATGAGCACTCTGCACGATTAGGAAGTTTCCACCATCTCATGGAGCACCTGGCAGGGCCAGCCTGTGCAAATGTCCCTGTCCTCTCCCGGGTGCAGCTGGAAGAGCACACCACCACCTCCTCGGCTGCGTCTACATCCTGGCTTTGGCTCTGGCAACCATCTCAGAGCCTGGCACCTATCACTGCTGATAAATAGGCGGTCCTGTTCTCCTGGGTTGGCCCTGTGCGTCAAGATTAGCTGACGGTGGCAGAAAACGGCAGCAAGACAAAAACCCATCCCAGAGCCATGGAAGAGGAATGGCATGAGTCAAGGTCACAACCTTGCAGAGCAAGCAGTCACAGAACAACCATTTTGGGTCAGGAGAGCTGGAAGACTCAGGCTCACCCATGTCAGCTAAGCTAAGAGTCGTCTTCTCTGACAAACAACACCACGGGTACAGAGCTGTCCTGCTAAGGAACAGAGAGACGCATTTTTAAGAAGCAAATTTATGCATGACGTGTTGATATAATTAGTAAAGGCTTTTTATGGAGCTGCCCTGTAGCAAGAAATATCCCTGATACGTGAAATTCATGTCCTTCCGTGCACCTCTAGATCATTACCGTGTCCCCACATACCGGCAAGGCGACAAGAGGGACCGTGATGGCACGGCGAGGGCAGACAGGAGTGGGCAGGGAAAAATCCTCGCAGAATCAGGGCTGGGTTGTGTCACGACTGTGATGGGAAGCGGAGGGGAACGGGGACTTCGCTAGATGCCAAGATCTTCCCCATAAGGTGACACATACCTGCTGTGGGCAGAGATTTTGGGGAAGTTAGGCTATTCTTAGCATCCCTCTCCCACCTCCTCCTCTGGATATGTGTGCCTCGTCATGACGTCCGGACTCTTTCTCACTGCTACAGTCACCGTCTGTGAACCCTACCCACAATATTACTGCGAAGACAACATGTTTATGATGTGTTTGCATTCAGAGAAAACTTCCCATGCGTGTAAGAAAGTCATAGCCGGCAGTTTCTTTATCCTTCCCTTGCCCAAGGTCTAGCGGAGAACTTATTTTACAGCGAGTTATTTATGGCTCGAGAGAAGCACTACTGACAATTTGAGATTCACAGCTCCAACCCTGGGCAACGAGGCAGATTTTTCTGAGGAAGTCTTCTACAGACAGCAGCAGGAGACAAAACCATCTTTAAAACAGGATGGGGGAAAGCCCTCTCCTGTTCTATTGAACATTAACACTCGAGTTGCCTTTTCTGTTTGTCTTCACCAACGTTTCTGCCACCACCCCGAACCAGGAGCTCAGGCTCTGAAATGAGCTCATCAGGAGCTCAGGTTCTGAAGTGTCCCCAACCCTGGTGGCAGGGCTGGGTTTCTGCTGCACTAGGTGGGGAGTAAGGACATATGGGACCTCACCTCTCTCCCTCTTTCCTCCCCTCAGTCTGTCTCATCTATTCAGGTGGCTTCACCTGCTTTTAAGAAGCTTTTTAAGCCCCTTCAGTGGGGATTTTCACAATGTTGGGATTTGCAAACTCAAACATTGGGTTTGCAATCCCAACCGTTGGGCTTTGCAAACCCTTAGACAAAGGGGTCTTGCTTGGAGCACGTGCTTTTAATTAGCAGAAACACAATACGCAGGAAAAGCCAAGCATCCCTGCAGAGGTAGGTACTTTTGGGGTGAGAAGTGTTGATGCTGGCAAAGCAAACCTCTAGGAATCATAAAGCAAACGTCTACGAATCATGGGCACCTCAGCAATGCTTCTACACAACGGCTTGGCCCGCCGGTGGAGAAGGACAAACTCTGAAAGCATTTACCTCCCTGAGGCAGGTATAAATGGGGCAGACAAGGACTCGAAAGGGCTCTCCGGTGCTGCTCCTCATGGTGCCGAAGACTTCGCAGAGAAAGGTGATGAACCCCAGCCAGCGCTCCACATCCCGCTGCTGCAACTCCTCCCGCATGGTGAAATCCTTCTGCAAGAGGGACAGAGACAACAGGCTGCATCAGCAAAACCGCATCGCCATGGGAGAGGCAATGGCTGTCTAGAGAGAGAATTAGGAGGAAATTGAAACTCAGGGTGGGGGGAGGAAGACAGACAGACTGACTCTTTAGTAACAGTGGGGAGATTACTCAACATACACGGAGTGGCCGGAGTTTCAACACAGCAAAGCCACCAGAAAGCAGGTACTGTAGAAATATCACCAACCCCTGCAATAACTGTCACGGCTTGCGCTAGAGACGGCGTCCCCCGTGCCCTGCCCTCCCCCTCAGACAGACACGGGGACTCTTTTCCATATGCACAACCAAGATCGAATAAAAGCAGCAACGAAGAGGTTAAATGAAATGCAGGGGAAACGCAATGAATGCCGGTGGCCACGCCGGGCTTGGTGGTCCAGGTGGACCTGCCCAGCCCGTTCATTCCAGTATCTTCAGCAGAGCCAGTGTCCGGCCGGGGGCATCCTAATGGCCTGGCTGCTCCCTGGGGTCTCACGAAATTACAGCAGAGACTGGCTCTCTGCCCGACCAGAAGAAGATCAGGGCAGCCTGGGCTTGGCATTAAAAGGTCACCCTGCTCCTGAGCTGATGGTTGCCATGACCAAGGATTATCCGAATGACGTGATTTATGGAGCAACATCAGGAGGAAGCGTGCAGGGAGATAGCTGCCTCCCCATCAGTCCTCCAGCTGAGGAGAAAAAAAAAGGGTTTGCCCGAAGGCAAAGATATGAAAAGGGATGTGTGTGTTGGGAGTGTGTGGCAAAGAGCAAGGGGCAACACAGAAAAGCAAATAAAAACCTTTCTAGAGGATGGCACAAGAGAGTGCATCGCACTCAGAGCCAAGAGGGTTTCCCTGGGCTCTCAGCAATGCTGCAGAGCTTCTTGCAAGATGTCCCAGGCGACTTTGCTTGTCTGTCTCCATAGTGACCTTTCCTCGGTATTAAAAATTAGTAGACACTAAGTAGGGGAAAATTAAAGAACAGGACAAGTTCGTTCTCAACACCGTGTTTTCCCAGTGCGAGTTGCACAACATTTGAAATCCAGCAACTAAATAAATTATCTGGTATCTTTTTCATCTCAGTTTATTCCTACTTTTGCCTGAAACAAAGGGCTTTGCTGCTGCTAATGCTCCGACCTGCAGCTGCACTCCGCAAAGCCAGGGAGATATAAAAGCCACCACACCAAAGTTCGCTCTCATGCCCCGGACAACACACTGGAGATCTTTCTTTTGAACAAAGGTAAGTAATACAGCTGCTAAAGAAAGCCAGGCAAAAGCGCGATGATTATTTTCATGACACAACCATATGCAGGAGCTATTTATATGTTTCATTACAAAAGGAAAAAAAAAATATGTATTTGCATATGCAGGAAAAAGACTTGTAAAATAACCAAGGCACTTATTAACCAAACAGTGATGACTAATTCCTCTCTACACCCATTTCTATAAGGCAATTGCCCAACTGTGTCTGCGACTCCCAAGTCAACCTGCAGCCAAATCCTGTCGGGTCTTTTCAGACTTTCTGGGGGAGTTTGCAGAGTTCATCCTTTCATTATCCAGCCAGTCCCAGGGCGGTGGTGGAGGAGAGAGTTATTTGCCAGCTCAGGTTATCACCCCAGGGTTACCAAATTACTCGTTCTGGAGTTTTCACTTGAATTTTAATTAACAAAAAAGTCAAAGAGAAATGACCTCCTGACTATTGAGAAATTAAAAAACGAAGCGAGAGCATCCCGTGCCCCTCGTCTGCACCAACAGGGACCTCCAGCCTTGCCCACCCATAAGGTCACCCACCGGCCACCTTCACCCTGGGACAAAAAGCACCCTTTGGACCCTGGAGCTCTTCCTTGATGCCCCGAGACCTCTCCATCCCCTGGCACTGAGCTGTCTCCTGCATCTCGCGCAGGAGATGGATCCCACCTGGCTCCAGCCCCCGAGCCGTCCTGCCCCTCCCAGGCTGGATGCTCCCCAGCAGCCCCCGTCTCCTGCCTGTCTCATCGGTCCACACTGATGCGCCCCGGGAGCCAGGCTGTATTTTGGGATCCCTGGGGCATGCTGGGAAATTCCTAGCAGCTCGGGATAACCACATGGGCTCTGCGGTCTCAGATTAATGGGAAAGAATAAAAACCACTGCAGGAAACTCTCCTCCTTCCCATTCCTGCATCGAATACATCCCCCCGCTACACAGCCCTGAAAGAGAGACAA